ACCATAGGCTACATTATGTGGAATAAAGAGTGAAGTAGTTTGGAAAGGCTTCATGCTGGATGGGGATTGAGTTCCTTTTTTGTGAGGAGGAATTATTCTTCATTTCCCTTAAAGCCTTGAGTTGATGGCATAGAAGACAGGAATAGAAACAATAGCAAAGTCTCTGAATGGATATGCATTTGGTGGGGTAGTAGAAGAAGATCACTGTTGGTTATGCCGCCCACCCAGCACATCACAGAGAGGCAGGGTTGTGCTGGTGGTTGTTGTTTGTCCTTCATTCTAGAAGAGAACCATGACATCAGGGAAGTGATGCCATGACATGCAAGTGAATTGGATTTAAGTTAGGAAAGGCTGTGCAAAGTCACCAGCCCCAATTTCTCCTCTGCAGCCATCTGGGTCCAGTAGCAAGATATAGATCAGGAAGACTGGAAATGTCCCTGGATACAATGGGAGATCTTGGCCTTTTTAAGGCTAAGGTCTTTAACAGGTCTCAGTTTCACTGAGGCAATGCCCATTCAGTGATTAAGGCTAGGCAAGAAATGAGACAGGGAATACTTAATCAAAAATAAATAAAATAAATAAATAAATCAGGGTTTCCGGCCAAAACAGAAACAATTGCTATTTACATTCTCTCTGAGCCAATCAATGAGAGTCAGAGTGATTTGGATTTAAGGCAGAGGTGCTTAGAGATCTAATATATGGCTTTCATATGTACTACTGGATTAAACTCTTCTAATTGGATTGCACTAGACTAGATGCTCTCTTAGGCCGTTACAACCCTAGAATTGTATAATTCTTTGATTAGAAAAAAAAGAAAAAGAAAACCTCGGCTAAAAGCCTGTTGCAGTGATGCAGAAAGAAGATCAAAAGGGCCTAGACCAAGTAGCAGATGTAGAAATGGAGTGAAACAGACTGCTGATAGAGCTATTTCAAAGGAAAACTTGACAGGATTCTGTGACTGGCTGAATATGGGGGATGAAGGTCAAAGTTGAGTCAAAGATGATTCCAAGATTTTTACAACTAAATTATAAAAAATGATGGTGTTCCTGACAGAGTTAAGGAATTTGGGAGAGGAAGGTAAACCAGAAGGGTAAGAATGATGATGAAGTCAATGTCATTTTGGAGACAGAGGAATGGAGCTTATATAAGAGGACACATAATGGGATATCAGGTTTGAGGAGTTTTAAAAGAATTGATAGTTGAAAACATTAAAATGGATGAGCTCTCTGAGGGAGAGAGGATGCAAGGGGAAAAAATATCAGGTTAAGTACTGAGCCTTAAGGAAAGCTTATGGTTACAGGGTAGGAGGAAGAAGGAGAAACAGAAAGGAAGCAAGAACCAAAAACGAGCAGTTTGAGAAGGAAAAGGAAAAAGACAGAAAGATAGAGTCACAGAAGCCAAGAGAGAGTTTCATGAAGTGTGGTTAACACAAAGTGCACCAGAGAAGTCAAGGGAAAAGAGGGCTGAACAAAGGCTATTTGATTTAGTAATAAAAAAAGAATCACTCATGGGTGACTTTTGAAGGGCAGCTTCAATAGGGTGTTGGGGATGGAAGCTAGATTGAAGAGGAAGGAGTTGGTGGAAGTGGAGCATTAAGCAAGCAGGAGTAGAAGAGAGGAGCTGGCAAGAAGTAGGATCAATAGCACAAATTATATTTAAACAGAAGGGACAATATCTCCTTCTGAATGAAGGAGGAGAGGACATCAGCTGAGAGTAAGACCGAGAGGGATAGAATCTATGCTTGAGAAATGGTCAGGAGCAGTCATTGTGGAGATTCCAGTAACAAATTAACTGCCATCTATCCATCTGGGAGGCAGGAGAGTTAAGTGACTTGCCCCTGGTCACACAGTTAGTCTGAGGCCAGATTTGAACTCAGGTCTTCCTGACTTCAGGGCCAGTGCTCTATCCATTGTGCCTCCTAGCTGCCCCTAAATTTACAAAATATAAAAGGATTGCTAGTCAATTGGCATGGGTCCCTTAAAACATGTAATAGGGGAAATTCTAAACAGTTTTGCAGTATAAGAGAAGATAAAAACAGACAGTGGTAAAGAGTCACAACTATAGAGAATAAGCATGGAAGCCAAGAGTGTTGAAAGAAAGAAAAAAAAAGAAAGGAAGGAAGGAAGGAAGAAAAAGAAATAAAGAGAAGAAAGAAGGAAAGAAAAAAAAAAGAAAGGAACCCTTACACTATTAACAAAAAAAGTTTAAGTAATTGGAATATTTAAAAAAATTAACACATAGGTATAATTTTGCACCTTTCATATTAATATTTATCAAATAGAGGTTAATCTAATCCCTTTTTTCTGCTTGAAAAAGATCCTTTCTTTCTTAAATATTTTATTTTTCTTATTTTTTAAGAGTGAAAAAACCCTTCCCAGGGAACTGCATAGCTCTATAACTTCACCAGATTTCAGAGACCTTTCAGCCTTTGTAAATGGTTAAGTGCTATAATACAAATGTGAGTTAGTGTTATTTCTTGGGCAAGGCAGCAGCTAAAACTAGTCCATCAAGTGAGACTTAACTGCCTGCATACGAACTAATCAAAAGGCAGCCATTGGTTTGCCTTTTCTAAGGATCCCTCTTTCCCAAGAGTTCCTGCCAGGCTTAGGCTTCTTTTCTTATCAAACTCTCAGCTCTTGTTTCCTCCAGAAAGAGGAAAATTACTTAGCACCAGGATGCCACTATGTATTCTATTTGAAACTCCATGGTTGCTCCTTTTTTTGCAATCAAAATAAGTTTTCAGTTGCTTTCCTAGCTTGCTTCAAGCCTTCCCTCCTCCCCTCTGATCAATACTTTCTCTGTGTCTAATGTGAACTGAAATTTGAATTTAATTATTCCCTTAGCAACCAGTACTTTTACAGCCTCCTTTCTAATACAGAGTGCTTTGGAGTTACATAATTTCAGTTTATAGCAAAAACTCTTTTCTCAAAGGGCCAGTTTCCAGAACAAGCTTTTAAAAAACAACATTTAAACAGAATTTAACAAGGCTTTTTTGGGTGGATTTCTTTTTTAAAAAGTGATAAAGTGGTTTCACCACAGGGAGACAAAGCCCTTATGTGAAACTTTAGTGAACAGAACAAGATGGAATCTAATTAAGGGCCAAAATCTGTGGTACAGATAACAGGTGTTATGGGAGGTCAGAAAAGGCAGCGATGAGTTGTCTGAGGAGGTTAGATGAGGGCAGTAGCTCCTTCAAGAAAGGATAGAAATTATATAGGTGCAAAGGAATGGGAAAGGAGGAATAGTATGAATAAAATCAAGGAAAGAGGGAAAAATGGAATGAATATAATAATGCTCAGTGGGCTGACCCCTTAAGGCTGAGGGTATATGTTGCCTAGTAATAAGAAACTAATTTAAATAGATCATATCAGGAAGGGTCTTGAAAGTCAGGTACAAGAGTTTTGACTTGATATTTAATTTAACCTTTCCTGAGTATAATAGCAAAAAGAACCACTAGCAGTTATTGAACAGAACAAAGATATGATAGAAACAATTTTAAAAGAATTAGTCTGATGGCTATCAGGACTACAGTTAATCAGGATGATGAAGTTCAGAGAGAACAGGGGGAGGTAGATCAATGGTGGGGGTGGGAGGTAGGAGATGGGAAGGGGGCAGCAAGTGTGCTAAGTAGAAATCCGATTTGAAGTCATGAGGACCAAGGACCCTATACAGAGGAGATATGGATGGGAATTCAAAGAAAGGGAGCAATCTGATATCAATTTGGAAGGAGGGATATGTAGGATTTTGTGACAGATTTAGTTAAAGGAAAATGAAGACTTAAAAGATTTCCAAGTAAAAATTTTAGCCTCGTTGACTGAGGAGCAATTGCAGTGGACAGAAATAAGAAATTTAAGATGGAAAATTAATCTGTGGAGATAATAAGTTTGGATTTGTATGTCCAAATATAGAAAAAGCATCTTCAGCTTATTACTGCAAGGGACCTTAATAGTCATCTAGTACAATCCTCTCATTTTACAGGTAAGCAAACTGAAAGGAAACCAGAAAGGTGAAGTCCCCAAGGTCACACCAGTAAAGCCCAGATTCTAACCCAGCTCCTCTGACTACTAATCTATTGCTCTTTCCACAATACCATATTACCTCCCCAATATCTCGGAGCTACTAAGCTGTAGAAAAGATGGGATTGGAGCACAAAGTGAAGAGGATCAGGATTGTAGAATTGGGGGGAAAGCACTGAACTAGGGATCAGGAGATCTGGGTTCTGGTACTGACTCTGCCACTAACTTGCTAAGTGACCTTAGAGAAGTCACTTTAGTACTTGGAGCCTCAGTTTAAGCAAATGTAAAACAAGGAAGCAAGATGAGAGGATCTCTAATTATTCTTGAGGCCTTCACATTATCCTTTATTCATTTGCCTTCTTTCTTTCACTACTTTATGAAATGTGGCCCCAAGCTTATTTGGACATGCCTCAGAAGCCTGGGTTATAGAAGACTCTCATGAGGGGTTGATCATTCACATGAGGTTCTATGAGACCTCAGAATAGAAAGAAATTAAATGTTTATGCAAAATAGCCAGGATACCTATACCACCACCTCTCCCCAGTCAAGACACATACAGCCAACACGAGAAGAGACAAAGAACTGTTTGTTGACTGGAATTGAAGTTGCCACCACAAAGAATAATCAGTAGAGCATTGTTGGAAACATCGTCTGTATGCTAAATTTGTATGTTAATTATAAGTTTTCTTAGTTTGTTGGAATTTATCCCTGAACTTGTCACAAACTATTGCCATTTTTATCTTGTCACATATTGTATTTGTTTTCTCTCTTTGTGTCCCGAGAACCTAGTACAAGTGTGGTCACTTGGCAAGTATGAGTTAAAATGAATGAGACTTTTCAGCTGAGTCTATACAGACAACTGCTCCAAAAAATCCAAAAAATGTGTTTTGAAAAGTACCAATTACCTTCTTAGCCATACCAAACGTATTTTTTAAATAAATTCAATATATTTCCGTTGTTTGTTTGTTTATTTCTCTCTAATAGGACAAGTAACCATGCCTCAGACAGATAAGCAAATATGCATCCCTCTGGAGCTTCCAGAATTGCTAAAGCAGTTTACCAAATCTGCCATCCGGACCCAGCCTACGGATCTGATCCAATGGGCTGCCGAGTAGGTTTCTTTTCTCCAAGAGACTCCATCTTATCAGTCATCCCTTATATCGGGTTCTAAAACTGGAGGTGGTGGGAAAATTCTGTAGAGGTGGGATGGGTCAGCAGGAACTGGAATTAGGGAGTTGGGCACCATTTATTACCACAATCTTTGTGGCTTTTGCCTTTGCGCCTTTAAAAATTACAGAAGGCAGGGCAGCTGGGTGGTGCAGTGGATAGAACTCTGGCCTTGAAGTTAGGAGCACCTGAGTTCAAATCTGGCCTCAGACACTTGACACTAGCTATGTGACCCTGGGCAAGTCACTGAACTCTGATTGCCTCACCAAAAAGCAAATAAATAAATAAATAGATAGATAGATAGATAGATAGACAGATAGATAAATAACAGAAGGCAGTATCGAAATGGTAGGGTGGGGCGCCCTCTGAAGCCAGCCAGGCATATCTCCCAGATGCCAAGCTATGAGGTAGTGTCCTAAGGCTCAGGCCACTAGTGGTGTTTCATTCTCCCTTGGAAAAGTTCAGGCTACTATTGTGAGTTTCTGTCCGTTCTTGAAGAAGAGAGGGAAGAGTAATATGTGGATGGAAATGCTTCTTGAGCTTTATAGCAGTCAGTGTTGAGATCCCTTATTTACAAGGCTTTCATCCATGAATTCATTCTCCCTATCTAGCAGCTATATCTAGCAGCCATACACCAGGAGAGAATAGTTGGCAAGAATGTATTCATCACTCTGAATGTCAGTGAGAAAAAAGAAAATTGATTGTGGGAGAAGCAAAGAATAGTCCACTATATTCCCCTTATCCCTGCTAGCTATTCTCTGCACTTCAGCTGCAACTCATACTGTAATCAAGAAGGCACTTTTTGATAGGGGTGGAGAAATTTTTTATAGAAAGGAGAAATTTTTTTTGTTTGTTTTGCTTTGGAGTTTTTTTGTTGTTGTTCATTTTGATATTTCTTTGTCATGATGTGACCCCATATCACATAGCCATACAACATGTCTACTTATCTAGGCCTAGACAGCAAAACTGATTAGATTTGAGACAGACCATGCCGAGAATGGCACACTTTTAAGGCCCCATGATGGTCTTGAGAAAGCACTGACTGGAAATGAAGGAAGTAGGTTCGAAGCCTGGCACTCCTTCTGACTACCTGTGAGACATTAGGAAATTCACTTAACCTTTCTAGGTCTCAATTTTTTCATCTTAAAATAAGGAGACTGGGTTGTAGATGATCTTTAAATTCTGTGATCCTATGAACATACACTTACTTCCAGAGACACCAGAGGCACCTCAAATAATCTGTCAGACAAAATAGCTGTTGTGGAAATAGTTTGACAAAGAAATCAAATCAACTATGAAATAAGTGCTTCTTAGACGCAAGTGTGAGGCTAGGTCTGGTAGTAAGTGTTTTGAGTGTATTGGGAGAATTTCATTTCCTGAAACATTTTTTCTGTCTTTTGATGCATAATGAGGATGTTTTTGTTGTGTTTCATTTTGGGGAGAGAGGTATGAGAGCATATTATGGAAGGAAAGGTCTAGAGGCTGTAGATGTGTATTTGTAAAAGATAAGGAGGGACTGACAGGTGCTGTGGAGATTGGATAATTTGTGAGTGGGGGGTAAACTAGATATAGGAGTATAAATATGCTTGGAGTGGGGAGAGGAGTTGGGCAGTGCTAGGGGAAGGATGGGGTTGTAAAGGTACCTCTGAGGAGGTGTAGGGTTTAACCCAGGCCTTACAGAATCTTTGGACTCCTGCCTCCAAAGTGCTCCAAGTAGGCTTAATGTTCCTGGGTTGACACCAGGCTTTTACAAATAAAACAAATTAGCCAGTAATATTTACTCAAGAGGCTTCATCTGCCAATAAGAAATACTGTTCAGTTTTCCCAACCTAAATTGATATATTACATTGAGGCTAGAACTTTTAGCTTCAGGAAACAAATTTTCTCTGGCATAATCAGATAATATTTGTTATGTACTGTGTAGTAGCTTTAAATTCTATTTTATTTTGCCTGTGATGCCATTCTATAATAACATAAATTGCATTCTTCTTATTGTCCCTGACATTTACAGCAGAAATTTTCTCTGTTGTAGCCAGTTTGATTTGGTACTGTATCATATATTTTAGCTCCTTGAGATTTCCCTGGAAATCAATGTGCCGTTTAAATATGACAAAAGAGAATGAAACTTTATTAACATGTAAAAAGTGAAAAATACTTTAAAAGTAATTAATTTTTACTCCTAGACCTGGGGTACATTAGAAGATACAACCACAAAATAATTGCTAAAACATTCATATTTAATTTATTGCAAGCAAGCATTTCACAGTGTACATACACACAGAGAGACATACAGACACACAGACACACACAGGAAGGGAGACTTTCCTAAACGGAACATGGCCCTAGATACACTCAGGGTTTATTCTAGCCCTGTATCAATTTCTGTTTCAATGCTGGTAGAGCTTCTTCAAGAACTTTATTCCTTTCTTGTTCCGTCCTCAAGAGGGTAGGGTTGAGTAGTTTCTCCTTCCCTCTGTAGTGTTACTTATAGAGAGGCAAAGAAAGTACTAAAAATAAAATAGAAGAGTAGAAGTTTTGGATCCTTGATTAACCAATAAGGAAATTTTCTCCAGGGAAAAGTCCCTTGCAAGTAACAAAAATAAATCTTAAAGAAAGTCTGTGGGGCTGGCTGAAATCACATCCATATGCACCACTGAGCTCTAAACAAACATTGGCTCAATTCCTCTGTCCAGAGAGTCAGCCTGTCTTTCTATGTATTAAACAAAGGAAAGAAAAAAAAAAAAGCCCCCCTCTCTTCCCCTCAACAGGTTCCCAATGTAACTATCAGTCTCGAAAGTAAAAAACACTTGTCTTTTTTCACCTTAGCTATTTTGGGGCTATGTCCCGTGGAGAGATTCCTCCAGCGAGAGAGCGATCTGAGCAGATCCCATTGTCTAATTGGGCTGAACTCACGCCTGAACTGCTAAAGATCCTACATTCTCAGGTAAGAGGTCCCTGATGAAGTAGGCAGGAAAATACATAGGCTGTTTAAAAGCTGTGTGGGTCCAAGCAGTCAGACCAATTAATCACAATTCTAAAATACATGACCATGAGCTATGACTAAATCTTGCTTTGAGAAACGGGAATGTTAAAAACAGAAATAATGCACAGTAGTGTTATGGTCCTGCTCCAAGCTATTGGTGCTCACGACAAGGTGAGAGCAGGCTGGGCACTTTTCCATGATGTAAGTCACTGAGTTAGCTTGCCCAGGAGCTTATCCAACTAAGGTTTCCTTCCTCCACATGCTCCCCTCTCTCTACCTCCCACTCCTGCAAAAAAAAAAAAAGTATAAAATATATTCATATTACTCCCTAGGTCTCTGAACACACACACTATAAAGATATACTTCTGAGGAAATCTAGGAAACAAATTGGTGGAGCATGGTAAAAATCAATCGAGTGAAGACAATGGGCACAAAAACCAAAGAAATATTGTCATTAGAATGCTCTACAAACCACCTGAGCAAAAAAAAGAACTAAATGAGTTTGGGAAACAGATCATAAGCCTGGTACAAAGAAATGGTATAATAGATGGGGGAGGGGGAGGGTCTTTCTATTATCTAGATATAAACTGAGGCTCTTTCTGCCCCACAGCAAAGCAGCTAATAATTTCTTGGCTTGTCATAATAATCGTTTCATTGTTCAAAAGGCAGAGGAAAAAATGAGGGAAAATCACATTCCAGATCCTAGTCATACCAGGGAGGAACTAATGGGGAAAAGTAAGAGTTTCATCTTAAAATTTTCTTGGTAGAAAAGAAAGCTAGGTATAGTCTGACAGGAACCCTAGTTTAAAGAGAAATTTTAAAAAGTTCAGAGAAAGGATGGCAGTATCTCATGGACTAAAACCCTAAAGGGGAAGTCAGCTCAGGAAAATGGCAAGTTCTTAAGAATGAAATTCTATGAAGACAAAGAAAAACAATTCTGTTGAGGAAAAGGGAGAGTGGTCTAAAGAGTCTGATGTGGATGAAAGGAGAACTCCCCAATGTCAACCAAGTTAGATTTCCAAAAGGCAAACACAGAAGAAAGAAATGAGGGTAGGCAACAGAATACAGTCACAAAAGCATGACACAGTCCAGGAAGAGCAAGGTCATTAATGAAGAGCATTATTGTTCAAAATGAACTGAGGCTAGTAGGGAAAAACTGAAGACAACATAAAGGGGTGCTGTAAAAAAAAACTGTATATAGTGAAAGGGAAGGGAAAGAGATAGAAATCCTTCTGAGGGTGGATGGGAATGTAAGTAAGCTCTCTGATGCCAGGACCTATTTAATTTATGTCTTTTGTATCCCCGATGCCTCGAACATATATGTGGATAATGTTTGTTGAATTGAATAATAGATGACAGACAGCAGGATTATTCTACTCTTATTTTGCTTCTTTTCTCTAGAGAAAAGGGAAATTATTTTTGGACTTGAATTAAGAGAATAAAATGGCTAATATGGGAGTAGATAGCAATATAAATTAATAGGGAAATAATAAAAGAGCCCATCTCTCACCTGGAAGAATCCAAATCACCAGGCCAAGATGAATTACATCTCTGAGTACTTAAAAAACTGGTATAACTTTTTTTTTTAGACAATTGGGGTTACGTGACTTGCCCAGGGTCACACAGCTAGTAAGTGTCAAGTGTTTGGTCTGAGGCCAGATTTGAACTCAGGTCCTCCTGACTCCAGGGCTGGTGCTCTATCCACTGCGCCAATTACCTGCCCCAAGAACTGGTATATCTTAATGGAAGTCACTGTTGGAGGCTTATGAAAGATCATGGGGAAGGGGACTGGGGTCACAGAACTGGAGCAGAGTAAATGCTATCCTCCTTTCCAAAAAAAAAAAAAGGAAGACAGAGGAGTCTGTCAGTGAACTCAGTGAACTTGATTATGATTTCTAGCAAAATTCTTGATCATGATAAAGGGATCTAGAAAAGGAAGCAGTGATCCAAAGACCTAGTTTGAGAAGATTACTAGAGTAATTGGAAATTTTCCATATATTTTACCAAAAGTTTTGACAGATTCTCATATTCTTCTTGACAAAATGGTGAGATGAGAACTAGTCAATTGTACCATTAGGAGGATTCAGGACCTAATTGTAGTGCGAGATCAAAAGCCTATATGTCAGTTCAGAAAAGTCTAGTTGAGTGCCCTAGGGATCTGGCCTTGTTTAGCCTTGTGTGATGTTGGACTTTTTAATCTATGCCTTCCATAAAGCCACAGATTATATACTTATCAAATCTGCAAAATGGCGTAAAACTAGAAGGAATACCTAACATACTAGATGCCAGGCAGGATCTGAAAAGATCTCAATAGGCTACAACACAGGGCTAAATCTAAAATGATGAGTTTTAATGGGGATAAAGTCTTGCACTCAAGTTCAGAAAATCCATTCCAAAAGTAAAAGATGTGAGTGGTCATGGCTAGAGAGCAGTCCTTATAAAAAGAAATCTGGGCATTTTAGTAGATTGTAAGCTCAGTATGCATCCACAAAGTGATAGGGTGGCCAAGAAATGTTTATGTGATCTCAGGCTGCATTAAGAGAGGTGGTATTTGTTTCTAAGGCCTGAGAAGTGAGGGTCCTGCTTACTTTGTCCTGGGCAGCCCTCATTTGGAGTAGCATGTTAGGTTCTGGATACTACATTTTAGAAAAGACATTAATAAAGACATTTTTTTTAAGTGAGGCAATTGGGGTTAAGTGACTTACCCAGAGTCACACAGCTAGTAAGTGTCAAGCGTTTGGTCTGAGGCCGAATTTGAACTCAGGTCCTCCTGACTTCAGGGACGGTGCTCTATCCACTGTGCAACCAAGCTGCCCCAGAAAGAGGGATTTTCAGCGAGACTTCAAGGAAGTCAAGAAAACCAAGAAGCAAAAATGAGGAGGGGGAAAATTCTAGGCTGGGGGATACTTAGTGAAATGCACAGAATGATGAGATGAAGTGTCTTATAGGAGGAACAGGAAGGAGACCAGTTCACTGGATCAAAAAATACATTAAAGGGAGTGAGGTGAAAAGGAATAAAAGTAGGAAAAGGCTAGGTTATGAAAGGCTTTAAAAGCCAATCAGGATTTGATATTTGATCCTGGAAATAGCAAGGAGTCACTCGAGTTTAGGAAGATCACTTTGATAGTTAAGGAGAAGACGAACTCAAGTAAGGAGGACTCAAGGATAAGGTGACTAGGAGACTGCTGGTACCCTGAATAGTGACTGAACTTCAGAAGAAGGGAGGGTTTGGGGAGAAAGAGAATGAGCTCTGACTCAGATGTGTTGAGTTTAGGATGTCTATGGGACATCGAGTTTGAGATGTCTAATAGATAGGTGGAGGTGTGAGAGTGGAAGTCAGAAGAGAACTTAGAGCTAGATAAACAGATCTGGGAATACAGATGATAACCGAATTCATGGAGGCTGATGAAATCACCAAGAAAAACAGCATAAAAGGAAAAGAGAAGAGGCCTAGTACAGAATCTCAGGGGACATCTACCATGAGTGAGCGTGACCTACATGAAGATCTAGCAAAGAAAACTGAGATGGTTACAGTCCCTCATTTTCCAAGAGGACCAAAATGACATCACTACATTGGGGTTAAGGTACAGTGTGTCCAACTGGGGCTGATCAGATCAATATGAGCTTGGAAGGCTCTGCCACAGGTCAGGCACAAATAGTCCACATGGACATTTAGAGCTGAAATGAAGATCTAGCAAAGGAAACTGAGTAGTGGTCAGACAGGTAGGAAAAGAACTAGGAGAGAATGGTGTCATAAAAACCTCGATAGAAGAGAATACGAAGAAGAAGGAGTGATTGACAGTGTCAAAATCTACAGAGGTCTAGAAGGATATGAGGATTGAGAAAAGGCTATTAAATTTGGCATCTGGGGAAAGCATTTCCAGTTAAATGATGAGGTCGGAAGCCAGACTACAGAGAGCTGAGAAGAGAGTGATAGGAAAGGAAGTGTAGGAACCTTCTCTAGGAGTTTACTCACAAGTGGGAGGAGAGCTATAGAATGATAGCTAGCAGTGCTAGACAGATCAAGCAAAAGTTTTTTTTGAGATAGGGGAGATATAGGTGTATTTGTAGGCATCAGGGAAACAGCCAGTATTCAGGGAGACATTGATGATTAATGAGAGGAGTGGGGATGATCAACTGGAGAAGATGGGATGAAATGAAACACTTGTACAAGGCAGAGGGGTTTGCCTTGCCGAGGAGGACCACATCTTTGTATGAGAAGAGTGTGAAAGAGAAGATGGTGGGGGAAGGCATGTGAGTGAAGTGAGGTAAGGAGGAAATGAAGGAGCTCTTAAATATGACCCCAATTTTTCCAGTGAAATATGAGGCAAAGTTCTCAGCTAAGAGGGTGTAAGGAGGAGGAAGAATGAGAGATTTGAAGAAGGATGACAAGGTTTAGAAAAGCCATTATGGTGAATGGGTATATGAGATAATTAGGGAAGTATAAAAGGACTGTCTTGCCACAGTGAAAGTCTAATTGAGATTATTTAACATAAAATTTGGAGTGGACCCAGGCAACTTGGTTTCACAATTTTCTCTAGTTTGCTGTTTTGCTTTTTTGGTTTTTTTTTTTCCAGCAGCAGATGAATAGGGGCATAAGCAGTAGATGGCGGGAGACTGAGGCTTGGCAGGGCAAGATGAACATAAGATAAGGGGGCTAGGAAGTGTACGAGGCCAGATTTAAATTCAGGTCTTTCTGATTTGGGGCCCAGGCCTCTACCTAGCTGCCTGCAAAGGAAAAAGCTATCAATAGTCAGCTGAAAAAATGTTCTAAATCACTACTGATTAGAGAAATGCAGTGAGGTGGCACAGTGGAGAGAACTCAGAATTTTTAAAAATCAATGTCAAATGTTAAAAATAATTTTTAAAAAAGGAAAAAAAGAAAAAAAATCCACTATCCAGAAGTCATACTCTCGCAACTTCAGGACTCCAGAACATAGGTCATAGTGCTAGAAATATTTTGTTACACAACTCCTTCGCCAAAGGTAGAGATGTTATTCCCTTCCCTGGGACCTCATTTAAGAGGTTTAAAGATTCTTAGTTGACCAATCTTAGATAATAGTTAATAAACATTCGTAAAATGCCTACTAAGTGCCAGGCACTATGCTAAATGCTGGAGACACAAAGAAAGGTACAAGACAGTTGCTGCTCTCAAGGAGCTCATAGTCTAATGGGAGAGACAACTACAAACACAATAAACAACTATGTACAAACAAGCTATACAAGATAAATTAGATAATCAACAGAGAGAAAGCACTAGAATTAAGGGAAATCAGGAAGGGCTTCCTATAGAAGGTGGGATTTTAGTTAGGACTAGAAAGAAACCAGGGAAGTCAAGAGGGGGAGATGAGAAAGGAGAGCATTCCATGTATGGGGAACAGCCATTGAATGTTGAACATCCTCATGTCAGGAGACCAGTCATAGAATCACAGAATATATTGGGGGGGGAGTAATACGTTGTAAGAAGACTGGAAAAATGGGGAGAACAGGTTATAAAGGGATTTGAATGCAAGAGTATTCTATTTTTGACCGTAGGGGCAATAACTACTGGTGTGACATAGTGAGACCTGTACTTTAGGAAGATCATTTTGACATCTGAATGTAGGATGGACTGAAGTGGGGAGAGACTTACAGCAGAGAGAAGAACCAGCAGACTATTTTAATAGTCCAGATGTGATGTGGTAAGGGTCAACCCCAAGGTGGTGAAAGAGTCAGAAGAGAGAAGGGGGTGTATGACAGTAACGTTATGAAGATAAACTCAACAGGCCTTAGCAACAAATTGGATGAAGGGGGATGGGATGGAGGTTGAGAAAGAGTGAGAAGGTGAGGATGATACCTAGGTTTCTAGCCTGGGTGACTGGGGAGATAGTAGTGCCCTCAACAGTATAGGGAAGTTTGGGGGAGGGGGAAAGAGATGAGGTCAGTTTTGGATGTGTTGAGTTTAAGATGATTACAGAACATCCCATTGAAGATGTCTAATTGGCAGTTTGGTTATCTGATTTCTCAGTCCACAGTATATTAGAAGCAGCAAATCACAAGGGAGATGAGATGAGGAAGAAGGCGGTCCTATTAAAAATAGGCACAATAAAGGGAGGAGATTAAAAAGTACATATAGAACTGTTAACTCAAGATACAAATATGTTCATAATCCTACCCCTTCAGTCATCAAGAAGTAAAATATTATGTATAATGGATATCATATTGCTTGCCTTCTCAGTGGGTGTGGGAGGGGATGGATGGGAGAGAGGCAATTTGGAACTGAAAATTTAAAAAGAAAAGAATGTTAAAAATAAATAAATAGAAATGTTATTAAAAAAAGTAAAATGTTACATATGTTCCATTTAAGAAAATAAGTGGGTAATATATTTAAGAAAATTTCCTTTAAAATAATTAATATTTAGAAAAAGTTATGGTGTTTAAAGGTATTAAGCTTTAGTTACCTAGAAAATTCATCCAAATAGAATGTTTTGTTCATCTTTCACATCAGATAAGTGAGGTCTTAATGTATGACAACTTAGGTCTCTTTGGCCCAGAATGTCACAGCAACTTAATTTGAGAATACAGTTTAATTTTATGTGGTACGGCAGTTGTCTAAAAGCACTAACTTCTCTACTTACAGACCAAAACACAGCCTCAGCTCCCAAGGTGTCTCACTATCACATGTGAAGCTACCCCTCCTGAATCCTTAGCAGCCTTGTAGACACCCACTAACTCTGAGGACCCAAAAGCCTGATTCACTGACCTAGAGGTCAAAAAGGCTTCTTTAAACCTGTGTTGGTAAAGCAGCCTATATGCCTGTAGGAGAGAAAACATTCTCTCCCTGTCCTTTCATGTTATCCTGCTACACAAGGGTACATACTCAGAAGTCGTTTAGTAAAAAGATACCCCAGAATTCTCCAGGGGGTGCTGGCATCCATGAGGTGTTATTTTAACAGGTTCTCAAGCAGCTTCCAAGTTGTCTTGCAGGTGACTATCTTTTGCATGTGAGCTCTGAAGCCCACTTGTATCATCCCTGATAAATAAGCATCTGGATGACTGATGACCACTAAGAGAGCTCTCACCTCTCCCCTTGGTGACCTAGTCTAAGATTTCACATCCTTTTAGGAAGTTCTTATTGCTAAGCTATCTCCCTTCTGTCGTCTGAGATGGAGAAAAGTTTCAGACCATTTTCTAACAACGTCTAGACACCATTATTAAGTCATTACCCAGCTTTCTCTTCATTGGGATAAAGCTAAAGTCCAGTAGGGGATTCCCTTCCTCCTTTCCTGATATGCAGAGGCTCAGGCTACCATCTCTGAATGCCCAAGTTGATGAAAGGCAGGGAGACAGCTGGGGAGTGGGATGGGGGCAGGTCCCCAAGCCAATGGATCTTAGACTTGGGAACCTGCCTCATTCTCTGGTTGTGTTGTTCTTTCCCACAGGTGGCTGGCAGGCTGATCATACGTGCTGATGAATTGGCCCACATGTGGAAGGTGCTGAATCTCCCAACAGATCTATTTAACAGTGTGATGAATGTGGGTCATTTCACTGAAGAGATTGAATGGCTCAAGTTTTTAGCTCTGGCTTGCAGTTCTCTTGGAGTTGTAAGTTACCTTTAGTCTTTTATTTTTTGGGGGCGGGGAAGAGAGGGATTTCCCTCTCTGGAGTGATGCCAGGAAGGTATGCGGAGGTGGGGAAGGGAGAGGAGAGGAAAGGAAGAAAAAGGAGGAGTAATAATCTTTTTATATACTGTCAGTTTTCCATCTTCCAATCAGGGGATGCTGCTGAAATCTGATTTATCCAGGTACTCTGGCTTCTATTTCTAGCTTGCTTCTAGGCTCAGCAACCAGAAATGGGAGAGAGGAAAAACTCAAACTAGGCCACCATTTTGGAAACTGAAAGTGGTTAACCAAGATTGAACATGTCCTTTAACGGCACCTTAAAACCAACCACAGCTGCACTGGGATATAGATAGATAGACGATAGATAGATGGATGGATAGATGAATAGATAGATGTATGTATGCATGTATGTATCTATGTATATATGTATAGATACATATATACACATATACATATATATGTGTGTGTGTATATATATATATATATATGGATATATATGGATAAGTATATAAAATATAAAGTTGGACTTGGAATCAGGAAGACCTGGATTCCAATCTTGCTTTAGATATTTAAAAGCTATGTAACTTACACAAGTCACAACCTTTCTGTGCCTCAGTTTCCTCATGTGAAATGAAGTAGCTGATTTTGAAGACCTCTGTTGTCCCTTCCATTTCTAAATCCATGAACTCTTATGTTCCTGTGCCATGAAATGAATGAATTTTTAAAAGTATTTGAGTGTTTACCATGTGCTAGACTTCCCAATGATGCCTCTGGGACCAGGTTGTCTCAATAGTCCATCCTTTATCATTGGCACTATAAGAATAAAAATGATGTGTCCAGTGGTACAATTAGTTTATAAAATCATCCCATACCAGGTTCTTGCAACAGGTATCAGATTACCAAGAGGTTCTTTGGAGGATGTAACATACCATGCTGAGCATACCATTAGGGAAGAGAGATAGTGAAAATAATTTCAGAATAGTGCCACGTGGAAAACAGCTTGCAAAAACAAAATTTATTCCATATAGAAGGGGCCAGTCATAAGCTCCTAGTTTTAAGATGCCTAATTTGACCCTCACAAGCTCAAAATAATATTACAGGTTAACTGTAGCAAATCTCACCCCTTTCCACATTCACTCTTTCATTCAAAGATATGCTACCTTTCTTTTCCCATAATCCCCACCCTCAAGGAAGAAAAGATTTTTTATTTTTAATTTTCCCAACACTTCAGGATTTGAAAGCTACCCCTTAAGAAGTATAGACTTCTACTTGTGTCTCCCATTATATGTTACTCCATTCTTCCTCTTTTCCTCACTGGTAAATCCTTCCCATTCCCACTTCCTTTTTCCTTTCTCCTTTTAAGATCATAAAAACATTTAAAAAATCATTCCCAGGTCCTCCATCTTATTTAACTCCCTTTATAACCCCTGCTCATTCTTGGGGAATGCTTGTATCATTCCCCTACCCCCACTAGAATGCAAACATTTCATCTTTATATTTTCCAAGTACAAACTTGTATTTTAAAATTTTTTTTAATGTTTCTCTTGACTCCAATGTTTGTATTTCAGAATTTCTATGCAGCTCGTCTTTTAATCAGAAATGTTTGGAAATCCTATTTCATTAAAGTCTGTTCCCCACCCCACCCCCCATGGTAAAACTATTATTGTTTTACTGAGTAAGTTATTCTTGGTTAAGCTTGTAACCTTTTCCTTTTAGAATATTGTGTTCCATGTTCATCATTCCTTTGAGTGGCAGCTGCTAAATCTTATGTGATACTGACTGTGGCTCCTTAGTACTTAAACTTTTTCTTTCTAGCAGCTAATGTAGTATTTTTTTTTCTTTGACCTGGAAGCTCTGGATTTTGGTTATGATGTTCCTAGGAGTTTTCATTTTGGGGTTTCTTTCCAGAGGCAACTAAGGGTGGTATAGTAGAGTGTCAGACTTGGAGTCAGGAAGATTTGAGTTCAAATATGAACTCACTTACTAGCTGTATGACCCTGGGCAAGTCCCTTCGCCTCTGTTTGCCTGTTTTCTTATCTGTAAAATGGAGATAATATTAGCACCTACCTCTCAGGGTTGTTGTGTCCTCCCAGATGGTTCAGGAGGAGAGAGTGAGGTTGGTGACTTTTCATAGCCCTGTCTTACTTAAATCCAACTTACTTGCAAGTCATGACATCACCTTCCTAATGTCATGGTCCTCTTGGAGAATGAAGGACGAAGAACAACCTGTGAGTAGTAGTAGCTGCCTCACTGGGGACCCACCTGGCCAGTTCCAGTTGGGCAATGCAACTCCTTCCTTCCTTTCTTCCTTCCCTCCTCCCTCCTTCTCTCTCTCCTTCATCTCCCTCTGTACACAGAGGGAATCATACTTTTACCTGTGGATACTCTGCCCAAAGGTATATAAATTTTGGAAAGCTTGCAAGATATCTTGGGGTTTATGGGCTACATTATTTTTTAAGGACCATGCCTTAAACCCAAGTCACTCTGGTCCTCAGTGATTGGTCAACAGTAGGTCCCAGCCCAAGCCTCACTGGGTCATTATTGGGTTCTGATGGCTCAGAGTGAGTGTAAATAGCAGTTGTTTCTGTTTTGGCCAGAAACCCTGAGGGTCTTCCCCTCTCATATTGATTTTTTGTTTCGTTTTTGACTAGGTAAAAGGCCATTCTTTGCCTCATTTCTTAGGTAGCCTTAATCACTGAATGGGTGTTGCCTCAGACAAACTGAGACCTGGGGAAGACCTTAGCTTAAAAAGGCCAAGGTCTCCCACTGCATCCTGGGCTATCTCCAGTCTTCCTGATCTATATCTTGCCACTGGACCCATATGGTTCCTGAGGGGAGAGTGAGGCTGGTGACTTTGCCCAGCTCTGCCTCACTTAAATCCAACTCACTTGCAAAGTCATAACATCACCTTCCTGATATCATGGTCCTCTTCAAAAAGGAAGGACAAGCAACAACAACTTGGTCTTGTGATAGCTCTTTATCTTTTGTTTGTTTCTTCAGCTATTCTTCCAGGGATCTGCTCTAAGCACCTGGTGTTGCTAGCCTAGGTGGTGCAGTGGATAGAGTACCAGCCCTGGAGTCAGGAGGACCTGAGTTCAAATCTGACCTTAGATATTTGCCAGCTGTGTGACCCTGGTCACTTAACCCCAATAGTTGGGAGCTAAACCTATAATCTTGGCCCTTTGGGAGACCCCAATGCACTGCTTTCCTGGGCTGGAGACAATCTGCTCTGAGAGACTATTTTCTTCCAACACTGTGTGGAGGGAGGCAGTAAAAAATTGTATTTTACACACACACACACACGCATTTTGTATTGATGAGCTGTGAGAAACCTATGTCTAGGAAAGCTTCAGTACAAGAAGTCTTTCTTAAAAAAAAAAAAGTCTTTCTTCCATTCATCATTCATTTAACAAACATTTGTCGAGCACGTGTTATATGCAAGGCACTACACTAGACCTTGCACATTTCAAGGAATTGTTTGAATGATGAAAATGAGTTTTAGTGTATAATGGTGGAAGGAATGGCTTGAGGACAGCCGTTAAGAGTGGTGCAACTGGACAAAAACAAAAGATTAGATGAGCTTAAAAGGAACTGAGAAAAGCAGCTAGTAAGATGATTAAGGAAATGACACAATCAAGGTTACCTCACATTCATTCAGATTTAATCACACCTGCTGTCACCTTGATCTATCATGCCCACAACTCTGCATCCTCCTCTTCTTTCACCCAGTCTGCCCTCCTACTAAGCTTTCATCCATCTTCATACTTCCCCATCCAAAAGAGCTTACATCATTTCAGAAGCCCAAGAACAGTATACATAAAGGGCAATGAGGCCAGTCCTCTGGACAATTACAACCTGTTATCTGGTTGGTCACTCAGTACCGCTAATATTTCACTTGTCACTGGATTGTGGGAAGTGTTAATCTGCACACCTGTTTTAATAGGTATATCCCTACCTTAGAGTGTGTATTAGCCATATTTACTAGACCAGGGTAAGTAATCCTTTGGCATATTTTCTTATAATTTTTCCGCCTCTGCTCCCGTTGTTTCATAACTTTTGCTTTAGTAACAGTTCCCATTTGTAAAATTCTGAGACAAGTCATAAGTCAAAAGCTAGGTTGGTCTGAAAAAATATAAAACAGGAGCAGTCTCAACTCTGAATGAGTCTCTTAAATTTTCTTTAAGAAAAAAGTTTTACTCTGATATGACAACCTTTCATTCAAACTGCTGGCAAAATCATTCATTTTCTATTTGGTTTTTCCCTTCAGTCACACAACTTGGCACAGCATCTCATAGGATAGCATTTAAATTCAGAGCCTGTATTTACTAAGCATACTGAAGAAACAACTGGCTTCCAGATGCTATCACTACATTACTACATAATATGTCCAATAGAATGGATTGTGTCCTAGATTTCAGCATTATTTATGTGTTAGTGCTCATCCCTAGAAAAGTAACCCTTCCCCTTCAGTTTTCTGTCATAGCTGACTCAATAGTGACTTTCCCGAGTATTCTTTACAGAATCAGCTGTATAACAAATGAAATAATACTTATAAAGCACTTAAGGGTGCCTGGTTCATAGTTGGCGCTTATTAAATGTTTGTCCCCTTCCCCTGCATCTCTTCATAGCAACTTCCTTTGGGCTAAGCTAAAAGAGAAAGGAGCAAGAATGCATTGTACTGTAAAGTCAAGGAGAAATTCATCCCTGCCCCTCCCCTGGGCAAAGAGGATGCTCTGTTAGACCAGGGTAGATGGGAACTCCATGCTTGCCTCGTCATTCTGTGACTCCTGTTGACATCCTTTCATAAATTATCCAGAGACCTGCCCAAGGTGTTGGAAGTCGTCTTCCAAGTCTTACAATTTTCTCCTTATCAGTGAACATTTAATCTGCTATTCTTCTTTCTCACCATATCACCTGCCTTTTCTGGTCACACGTTGCCTTGGTGTGTTGCCTTTTTTAACGCTTCTTGCACAAAAATCATTTGATAATGTGTTGCAGTCTACGTAAACCAAACATGTCTCTTCATTTTCCTTTAGATTATCCCCAACTTTAAGACTTCTGAGATCATGGTATTCATATATTCAACCATGCAGCATCATCAAAAGCATACTGGCGTTTAAAAAAAAAAAAAAGCTGGTTTTGTATGAGGGACGAGCTTGGGATCAATAAAAACACTGTGTGATCTTCCAGATGCTATCTAGCCAACTCTCTCCACCTTCTATTTAATTTGGAAACCAACTCATTGTAATGTTTGTCCAAGTCTGGAGTACTAATGGACTATTTTTCATTGGGCTGCCTCTCCCAACTGCTTGTGATTGAATCTTGGTAATACAGAAGGGTATCATCTTTTTCTTATATAACTGATTTAGTGACAGGACCTAGAGCATGCTTTTAAAATATACAAAATGTAATTACAATAAAATTTAATTATAATATGTAATTATAAGCTTCATTTCCAGAATGCCAATAAAGAAAAGAAGCATGTTGTAGATACTAAATAATTGTGAGATAGTATGAAACTGTTTTAGATATAAGGATTATAATCCCTCTAGAACAGAAGTTCCTAACCTGGGATCTGTGAACTTTAAAAAAAAATTGATAACTTTATTTCAATATAATTGATTTCCTTTGTGATCTTATGTTTTTTATTTTATTTATTTAAATATATTATTCAAAGAAGAGGTCCACAGGCTTCACAAGTCAAAAGGATCCATAACAGAAAAAAAGGTTAAGAATTTCTGTTCAAGAATGTGATGTCATTCCCATACCATTTGATTGATACAGGTGATAACTCTATTTGTCATCACCTTTCTCCTGTCTAAGCTGGCCTCAAGAATCTAACCACCTATTTTTATCTTCCTTTTAATAGACCATAGCCAAAACCCTCAAGATTGTGTGTGAAGTTTTATCACCTGAACATGATGGCGGACCTCCCCGAATCCCTTTTAGCACTTTTCAGTTTCTTTACACATATATTGCTGAAGTGGATGGGGAGATTTCAGCATCCCACGTCAGTCGAGTGCTGCACTACATTGAACACGAAGTGTAAGTACATTTTCATAAGCTGAGTGGAAGAATAATGGGAAAGTGATTGTAGCAGGACTTTGATTTATGACAGAACATAGTAAATTACAGTGTTGGTATAAAAATAGGGGGTATCATGGAGAACAAAGAAAAAGAAAGAGTAGGATATGGCAAAGGAAAAACAGGAAGTGGGGGAAATAAAAGGTGTTAGAGGATTAGAAATAAGGCTAGAGGAATCATGTAGAAAAGAGGAAGTATTTAATATATTATGCTTCTTGATAAAATAATGAGTCTGTTAAATGAATTAACTAAGAATATATTTTTGGCCCAAACAGAATCGGTCCAGACGGTTTAATCAAGGTGAATGACTTTACCCAAAATCCCAGGGTAAGGCTGGAATAAAAATGCACTCCAGCAATTTTAAAGGAAGGAAGATACAGAGATAATTGTGCTTCAGAATGACTGCACCCCATACAACATCCAATGTCAATTTTCTTGTACAACTGGTATGCTAATAAACAATTAGGCAAACATGCTAGCTACAAATTTGTGTGTGTGTTTATGTTTAAGAAGTTCTCAGAACACTAATATTGATGTGAGAACTCCTATTCTCTCCTTGCTTGGACCAGGTTCTACAAATAGATAATGAGGTCAGGACTGGAAAAATACTGAGACAAGTAAAAATGTTAAATTTCAAAGAGGGAATGTTTATTTAACACCATTAATGATATGCATGATTTTTATTAAGTTGTATCAGCATGTCATAAATGACAAGTGTTTGTTTTTCACATTCAAACACCATTTTTAATTTATCTTCTCATTTTATTACTTCTCCATTATCTGTAATGTTGACAATTTTATTGGCCCATACATCTTGTAGAAAAGCTGGAGGAATGTGGGCTAGATGATAATATAATTGGATGGATTCAGAACTGGCTGAATGTCATCTTGGCAGGAGGTCCACGGTAGCATCCCCCGGGGGACTTGTATTTGGCCCTTTACTGTTTAACATTTTTTCTTAATGATTTGAAAAGAGGCAGAGATGGCATATTTATTAAATCTGTAGATGATAAAAAGCTGAGAAGCAGCACTCAGACACTGGATGACAGTCACGGCCCAGATCTTTAGAGTCTAGGGCACTGGGTTGAATCTAATTAACTGAAATTCAATAAAGAAGGATGTCAACTTATATTCTTGGTCACACAACATCACCTTCACAAGGCAGGAAGGTATGATTAGACAGCAGTTTGTCTGGGAAAAAAAAAAAGAAACTGGGATTTTCAGTGGTGGCCTGAAAAGTCAATAATGTGACAGCAGGGTGCCCACAAGAGTAAATGAGATTTTTAAGCTGCACTAAGAGGTATAGACAAACACCTCTTATCATGTGCCACGATATCCAAATGTATAAGTAACCTAGATATAAAAGGTCACATCACAGACAAATTGGAGGAGTAAGAAATTATCTTGCAAATCTATGAATGGGGAAGAGTTTCTGACCAAAAAGGAGACTTAAAAGGGTCACAAGAAGGAAAAAAATGGAGGCAGCTAGGTGGCACAGTGGATAGTGCACCAGCCTTGGAGTCAGGATGACCTGAGTTCAAATCCAGTCTCAGACGCATAATACTTACTAGCTGTGTGACCCTGGGCAAGTCACTTAACCCCACTGCCTAGCAACAAAAACAAAAAAACAAACAAAAAAATGGACAATTTTGATTACATAAAATTAAAAAGTTTTTACTTTAATAAAAAATAGGGCCAATGCAGCTAAGATTAGAAAGGAAAGAGCTAGGAAAAATCTTGGCAGCAAGTTTGTTAAAGGTCTCATTTCCAAGATTGTAAGGAACTGATTAAAATTTGTAAGAATTAGGGACAGCTAGGTGGCACAGTGGATAGAGCACCAGCCCTGGAGTCAGGAGGACCCAAGTTCCAATTCGGCCTTAGACACATAATACTTCCTAGTTGTGTGACTCTGGGCAAGTCACTTAACCCCAATTGCCTCATTTAAAAAAAAAAATTAGGAATTAAAGACAATTCCTCCAATAGATAAATGGTCAAAGAATATGAACTAGCAATTTTCTAAGAAATCCAAGCTATCTATACTTATATAAAAAAATTCTCCAAATCACTAATAATTGGAGAAATATAAATTAAGGTAACTCTGATGGACTATCTCACACCCACAGATTGGTAATATTAGCAAAAACGGAAAATGACCAGTGTTGCAGCAGCTATAGGAAAACAAGTATCTTACTACACTGCTTGGGTAGCTGTACATCAGTACTACTATTCTGGAAAGCAATCTGGAACAAAGCCCCAAAAGTCATATCCTTTTGACCCAGTGAAACCATATTTAATTTTTTTAAAGAAGAGTTTAGAGATTAGAGGTGGAAGTGTATAAACACTTGGGAGTCATCTGCATAGAAATAATAACTGCATTCATGGGAACTCAGAGTATAGAGATACCAGAGAGATCTCAGTAGAGTCTCCTGAGAGAGTCTGGGACCCAGTGCCTTAGGGTACACCCATGCATAAGGGAACAAGGATAATGAACTTACAAGAAAGACAAAGGGCTCAGTGCTACAAGTAGAAACAAGAAAGCAGTTTCCTTAAAACCGTGGGAAGAAAGGGTATGCAGGAGGGCATGGTCACCAGTTTCAAACACTGCAGAGATGAAGTATAAGAACTGAGGAAAAAATAAGTCTTTAAATTTATTTTGCAGTTTTTATTCTTTACAATTCATCCAGGTACTGATTGTGGGACCGTAGAATCACTTAAGTAAATCACTTAATCTCTCTGAATCTGAATTATCTCATCTGGGAAATGGAGTTAATACTTGTATATACTGTAAGCTAGCATTTAAAAAGTGCTTTAAGATTTGCAAAACGCTATACAAATCTTATCTCATTTGATCCTCACAACCACCCTATAAGATAGGTGCTATTCCCCACCCACCCATTTTACAGAGAAAGGAACAGGGGCCGAAAGAGGTTGTTACTTTCCCAAAGTGACAAAGCTAAGTAGTGCGTGATACAGGATTTGAACTCAGTCTTATTGATTCCAAGTCCAGGACTGTATCCACCGTTGCCCAATAAATCATATGAGAGTCAACAAGAACACATGAGAGTTGTAGTGGAAAGACAACTTTGGTCTCTAAGCCAGAAGAATCTGGGTTTGGGTCACGTGGATAGAGTGAGCAACAGAAGACAAGGCTAGAAAGGTTATGACAGTGTTAGACTGCATAGAGCCCTGAACGCCAGTCCAAGGGAAGTCTAGATCATGGGTGGGTCGGTCACACATAGGGATGACGAACGTTTACATTGCGCTTTAAGGTTTGTCACGTGCTTTGCCTATGTCATTTCATTTGATAATGGGGTAAGGGGCCATAGGTGAGGGGTGAGGAAAGGCAAGGTAGATGGTTTCCTGGCAGGGAGATTTAATTCAATCAGAAAGTCAATTTGGGGCCGGAAATAAAGAATCTTCGATTTCACTGAGTCCAGCACCCTTATTTTGCAGAAAAAGAAACAGGCCAGAGAGGAAAAAGTTCATAGATTCTGGATTCGAATTCACGTCCCCAGTGGCCGCCTCCTGTGGCCTGTGACAATTTCCTTCCTTCCGTCACCTCGATCCCACTTTACCCAATCCGGCTCAGAGAAAACCTCATCCGAAACCCGCGCACGCCCCACTTACCTCAGCTCCTGGCGGAAGTAACTTCCAGGGTGGAGGCTAACTGAGCATGCCCCCAGATCCACGCCTGCGCAGAAGCCGCGGGGGAGGGGGGAAGACCCGATTGGTCGATCACAGAAAATCGAAGCGCCGTGTTCGGCGGGAACCAAACCGGAAGCGGAAGCCCAAGGAGCCAAGGAAGGCGGCCCGAGAGGGTCACGGTTCCTATGGCTGTTAACTCGATCAACCGCCTGGCTTCTGCCCGGAGGGTCGATGGACGCCTCAGGACCCGAGAGATGGTGAGACCCGGGCCTCGGCCGGCTCAGGTGAGGGGATGGGGCTCGGCCGGGGTCTGTATTCGCATTAGGCTCTAAGCTCCTTGAGGGCAGGATCTGACCCCAAACTGGGAGTCAGGAGACCCGAGTTCCAGCCCGGACCCGCCGTGTGACCCCGGGCAGTGACCAGGAGGAGGGAGAGACGTGCTTGGGGGCCGCGGGTAATGGTGACCCTCACGCGGCCCGTGATATCTCGGTGTGAGCGCTGCTTTCCCCGGCCCCCGAAGTCGTGCAAAGGCTTTGGGAGTTGCTGAGATTGAAAAACCCAGTCGTTTTTCCTTCAGACTTCACCCTTCTTGACTCCATGATACCCCCCTCTCACTTGTTTTCTTTCTTTTTTGTTTGTTTTTTTTTTTGGTGAGGCAGTCGGGGTTAAGTGACTTGCCCACGGTCACACAGCTAGTGTCAAGTGTTCTGAGGCCGGATTTGAAGTCAGGTCCTCCTGACTCCAGGGCCCGTGCTCTATCCACTGCTCCACCTAGCTGCCTGTTTTTCTTTTTAAAAAAAAATATGTATTTTAACATTCATTTTTTAAAAATTTGAGTTCCAAAATTTTTGCGCCAGTCCCTCTCTCTCCCATTGAAAAAGCAAACAGTATGATCCCAATTATACATATCTCACCTGTTTTCAACCTCTTTCTTTGCTGTCAGCTTTCTTTTTGCCTAAAAACATGCCCATATTTCCCTCCTCCTCAAAACACTTCATCCGTCCATCCATCCATCCATCCATCCCTGTTATGGTCCCATATTCTGCCCTTTGTGGGTAAACTTAAAAAGAATATGTGTGTGTATATGTGTGCTCATACATGTTTGTATATACATATATTTCGGTAGTCAAATCTACTTATCTGTATATTGTGTGTTTGTGTGTATATATATGTACACACATACACATGTAAATAGATAAATATATACATACTTATATACACACAAACAGATAGGTATGAATAGATTTGACTATTGAAATACCCTGCTGATGGGTTTCCCTCACCCAGGTCTCTTCCCACCCCACTCAATTCCATCCTTCACTTATCTACCAAAGAGATCTCCCTAAAGTACAACGCTGAATCTCTCTCTCTCTCTCTCTCTCTCTCTCTCAAACTCCAGTGGTTCCCTATGACCTCAATCGGTCTCCAGTATATGCTTCAGCTTCCTTTTTTCTTATTCTCTTATTAACTCTGAAGTCTGGCTTCCAACTTCATCATTCAACTAAAACTGTTCACTTTTAATTGGCGAGTCTAATATCCTCTTCTTTATCTTCATCCTTCACTACTCTATCCTGGCTCTCTTCCCCTCCGTGTGACTGACTACTCAGCCCCCTTTGTTGAATCTTCATCCAGCTAACTGGTTGTCCGGCCCTGTCCTGCGGCCTCTTCTCCTTTTATACTATTTTACTTGGTGATAATCATCAGTTCCCATGAATTCAGTTATCATTTCTTTGCTGTTGATTTTCAAATCTACTTGTCCAACCCTAACCTCTCTGCTGACTTCCAGTC